GGGCTCTAAGTAGGTCTCTCTTCCTCTGTGAGGCACGAGGCTGTCTCAACACAATGCTCTGGAATGAGGCAATTCTATCTTCCAAGCTGCCACCTCTGAGGGCAAAATTTAATTCAGGGAGCGAAAAAGAATTTATAATAAAGATGACACAGTATTACACATACGTTTTCCTGAGTGGAAGAACTTCTGACAGATCCAGGAAATATGAGACAGAAACAAATCTTAAAGGGACATTTGGGGACAAAGGTGGGCAACGGAGCTGATGCTGACTTCTGCACTGCAGCGTGGCGGGGGTGGGGTCAGAGGAGCTGCTGCGGCATTTGCTTTCTTTTACAATCACATGCCACTTAGCAGCGGCTACCTTTAAGGTCGTGTACACCACTAACGTCTGAGAACCCAAGAACGCAACGGCAAAACTTAAGTATCTGTTTTCATCTAAAGGGAAGAGACCTCTGAGGAGCCCATCTCACCACATACCCCCTGCCCAGCACGACACAGGAAGTGATGAAAAAGCTCCGACTTCCTGCCCAGTCACTCCTGCCAGCAGGACATACGGGCCCCCCTGGGGAGACCTCGTTAGAGAGGCAGCAGCACGCGATGACTCCTCGGCCCCTTTCAGAAAGAAGCCTTCAGCTACCAGCGGCTCCAATGGCGGGACAGCTGAACACCACTCCGCCGGCAAAGGAGAAAGCTTAAACCACCCGATCCCTTCAGCCGAGGGGTTCCAGGCCCATGGACGCTGGTCGGAAGCCCGAAGGCAGGGTGTCCCACCCCCTCGTTTCACAGAGGCAAGTCAGCTCGCCATCTGAAAAACCCATGGGTTCTCCCTCCAATGGCACCAAGTGCACCGAGAAGGACCACGGGTCAGTGTGGGTCACAGCTCTGTCCTGCCTAATGGCAGCCCGAGAGGGCAGTCGGTCGGTCCCATGGCCTGGGATCTAGGTCATCTAGGGGATTACAGATGGGCAATCATTCACCCCCAAAGCAGAGTGCTACAAAATAATTTAATGAAGAGCAGGACCAGACACATCTCTACATGTTCCTTCTGGCCTCCTTTCATTGTGATCTTTCTGGAAACCCTGTGATAGAGAAGATGTCACAGAACTGCTAGGAGGATGGGAGGTACGACGGCCATCTGCCACTTTCCAAGGGACACCGCCTGCAGAGGGCAATAGCTGCCAGAGTACAAAGGCGCAGGCCCCTCTGGCCCAGCAAGTCTCCCTTGAGGAACAAACCCTCCAAATACACGTGTGGGGACCCAGTCCCACCCACAGCAGCTAGGGAATGCATGCAACCAAACACGTGGCAAGGGCGGACCAGCCGAAGGCACACCCCCCAGGTGAAGTGCCGTAAAGTCACAAAAAACAGAACAAAAAAACCACCAAACACCAGGAAGTTCTCTATTACGTACGTACCGAGACAGGATAAAAAGATTTGTAAGAGCTTTTGTTGCCTTGGCCAGTGGCACAGCTGGCTGCAGCGCTGTCCCAGGCACCCAGAAGTCGCCGGTGTGAACTCTAGTAGGAGCACATATGGGAAGTGACTGGCAGATGTTTCTCTCTCACGTCAATGCCTCTCCCCACCCCTCAAAATTAATAAACATATCCTTGGGTGAGGACTAAAGAATGAAAAGAGATTTTGTTTAAGGAAAAAGCAAGGTGCAGAACAATAATATTTTACCATTTATGGTTTTTAAAAGGTGGGAACTGAGAGCATGTCTGGAAAATTCGCTTACGTGTGTGCACAACCTCTCCGGAAAGATGTACGGAAAATGGCAGCGCTGATGCAGCCCCAGGAAAAGCTACTGGGGGCAAGGTGGAAAAGTGGGACGGGGTCACCCCATCGACACCCTTTCTCATTCCATATCTTCTGATTTCTAGGTGAATGCATTCCCTCGTTTTAAATACTTTTTTTTTAAAGAGATGTTTAAAGATCTGATCTTTTAACAGTGAAAACAGACAATAGCCATTTTTTCTCTGACTTTACTAGGGCAGAGAAAATGCTGACAATTCCCAGTGTGGTCCCAAGGCCTGGCCTGTGAGCTTCACAAGCCTGGGAACCTCTACTGATGTACAGAGCAAGGACTGTCTGTGATCCCCGGGGCGGGGGAGCTGGAAATGATTACACCAGCTGCACGCACAAGCCTTGTCTTAAGGTTAAATAGACACATCTTGCTCATTGCTTGATTTCATCTCCTTAGAAAACTGTTTATTAACAGAGCTAGGTTACTAGACAAGAACCAGTGTGTTGAAATCTGTGCGTAAGGCTGTTTCCCGCTCCAGCGCCAGGAGCACATCCGGTGCCCTGCAACTATCTGGGATGAACACATGACGTGCTAGCCACCAGATGCATGAATGAATCTGAACCATTATTATTTGATGCTCAGACAGCTGGGGTGCCTCTAAAATGCTAATGCGTTCATCACACAGACACAGCAAGGATATTCCCCAACTAACCCAAAAAGCACCTCTGGAGCACTTATCCAGGTAGAGAGACTTCAGTTCCCCACTCAGAGGTACTTTACATCAACTTCGCCATCTGCTTTTATCACATGTGATCAACAACGGACCCCAGCTAACCCTCAGCTCTGCATCAGCTGCAAACGGAGATAAACCAAACTCTCTGTTCTCATAAAGCCTTCATCTGACTCCGAGTTATCCAGGCCGGAGGCGCAGACACCAACCCCCAGTGGACGCAGCTCCAGGCAAACTCTGCTGCGAGTGGTCTCACACCGACCTCCCCCGATGTGCGGGGACATGCTGCCAGGCCAGGGCTCAGATGCAGCCAGAACACACCATCCACAGGTAAAGTGGCCCGCAGCGCCACACATGAAACTATTGGGAATGACGATGGTGTATTACAGGACAGCAGCAGGGCAACACGCTTAATACACAGAGACGTTACATGACCACTGAATTTCTAAAAAATGCAGGTTTTTCTGAGAAAGCAAAAACACCATCAAATGCAATTGGGTGGGAAGTCCTGCGTCTGCAGAACTACGGGAAGCAGCACAGATGGCAGCGTGGACGCTCTCACGTCGGGAAACCGGGAAGTGCACCAGCGCAGACTGAGTGCCAGCAACAGCAGCCTCGACCGCTGGGCCTGAACTTGGTGCAGTGCTCACAACGAACTCGGGAGACCAGCAGCAGCTGTCGGACTTCAAAGAACGCGTCAGAGCCTTCCTGCCGCAAACTTACTTCCTTCAATTTCAAAATACCAATGAAACACACCAGCAACAAGTTATTTAAGATACTATAAACTTTTAAAAATGAATTTTCATAAAATTAAGGTATTAATCAGCAGATTCTTACAGTTAATGCTTTTCATTGGGTTGAAAATGTGCAGAGGCGTCCAAAAAGCACCTATGCACATCCACAGCTCAAAGCTGCTCCCAGCGTCATTTTGTGCGGAACGGTCCCTTTAAGTAGTTTCTCAAATATATCCACTATGATTTTATCAAAGTATCATGATGGTGTAGAAATAAGTTTACTTGGATAAGTTAAAGTGAAATAGGAGCAGCCAGATGAAAAATTTATTAGAAATATGAAAAATTTAAACCAGGCTAGCATTAAATATATCCATCCCCTCACAACACTGAGAACTTGGGAAATAAGTGAGATAACCCAAACTTGAAAGCATAATGGATGGAAAATGAGAAAGTAAATATTCAGTCTTTCTTCTCTGAACAAATGAGCTCACAAGGGATCAGAAAAGTTTTTGTAAAGCCCGAGAAAGAAGACAGCCTTAGGAAACCAACTGCCGCCCCTCCCCCACCTCCTGGGAAGGCAAAAGGCAGGAGCTGTATCATCACAGACTTGTCGGCTAACGGGTAACAGGCGCTGCACCTGCCCCAGCCGGACAGCCTGCCTGGAGCGTGAAGAGAGCCCCTCCCCACAGTGAGATCACAGGGAGCCACAGGGGCTTCCCGCTGCGCGTCCCCAGGGATGAAGGACACATAATTGGAATCCGGGGCACCTCCGTTCTCTGCGTACTAAGTTGCAAAACCAGTGAACACCTGCACAAATGAGACCTGACCTCACAGGTGACCGATATACTAGGGGAAACAGGATGTAAAAGTTGCAACCAGAGGCCAGAATCAAACCATGCGTGGCAGAAATCACAGGACGCACACAGTGACCGCTAACCGTCCCACGCCAGGCATCACACTCAAAGCTCGACAAACACAGATTCGTTTAACCTGACAATTCCATGAAGCAGATGCTCTTATGAACCCTTTACAAAGGAGGAAACCAAGGTGGAAAGAGGGTTAGGCAGCTTGAGGCCTCCCGGGTAGCAGGGGAAGGGCCGGGACTGGAACGTGCGCGCCGAGCCCGGCTCTTCTCCGGCACTGGACACCACCGTGTGGGGAAGGGCCTCTTCCAGGGGGTGGCTGCCACCGCAGGAGCCACAGCCCTGGGAGTTTCTTCCCGGGGATGACACCACTGCCGGCGGGGTCCGGAGCGGTGAGTGGAGAAAAACCAAAACAAACCGAACCTGATCCTCTCTCCCCGGATTCCACTGGAGGACAAAGAGGCTTCCATAAATCAGCCGTGAGACTTTTAAGGCTAAGTACTTGGCCTACAGTCAGGATAGTAAAATGCTAAGTAGTGATAAAATTTAGTTATCATGCAAAGAATTTCAATTAAAAACTTCTCCTTCCTTCTGGCTCAAAGAGTATCACAGGTACTTTTATGCACTATTGGTGAGAACGTAAATTTTCATGCAAACATTTTTCTGCAGAGATTTGTTTTACTGCATAAATGCACCTATACATGCATGAATTTTTCTAGATGGGCACCTACTGGAAACTATTGACAGTTTCTTCTATGGAGTGGGGGAAAGGAGGAGAAAGAAAGAAAATGATGACTTTTCATTTCATATCCTTTTCACGTGCTTAAACGTTTCCCCCGACTGGATCTCAGGGCTCTAATTGTTTAAACTGCCTTCTAAACATAAAACTGACGCTCTGTTGCGTCAGCCGCACACCCTGCCGTCTGTACCTTGTTTCCTTCATGCACCCATCCCAGACTCTTCACTCCAAAAGCAGCCTGGGTGGCCGAGACGTCGAGACAGCTGGCAGGCTGGCTGCAGACGCAGTGCAGGGTTCTGGCCGAGTCGTCGGCCCTCAGCAGGTACACCAGGTCTCCAGCAGCGGCTACTGCCACTGGGTGCCTTTCGGTGTCTGGAACCAGTTCTAGGTAGTCAACCTGGAAAAGGACAAGAGCTGTTTGTTCCTTCAGGGCCAACTATGATTCATCCTGACTTGGTCAAAAGGTGTCCCGGTCCCGCTACACGGCAGTGAGAAGACCGGCAACCCCAAGGAAAAACAGGGGCAAAGGCGCAGTTCCCAGGAAATGAAACACAGCTCTTAACACAGAAAAAAAAGATGCTCATCATTGGAGAAACACCATACACTCCCAGGAAGAGAAGTACAAACTAAAAATTCACCGAGATACCGTCTTCATCTGTCATGTCGGCAAAGATCAAAGAGCCTGTTGAGACCCGGGGCTGAAAGTGACCGGAGCAACCACACCTCTGGGTCCCACTACCGCTGCTGGTGGGAGGCAGTCTGGTCCCACTTCTCCAGGGGAAACCTGGCCACCCCTTCCCACAGTGTTAGGTGCACCACGCTCTGACCCAGCGGGTCCCTTCTAGGGCTTTCCTTACAAACACACTTGCATTTATGCAGAACACTGTGTACAAGGGCACTCGCTACAGCATCATTTCGTCATCACTAAAGACTAGAAACAGCTTACCATGCGTTACTAAGGGACTAACCACCTTACAGCCCATCTGTGCGTTGGAATACCACGCGTGCAGTCACGGAAGCAAGTGGGAAGACACTCTTTACGACCTGATACGCTCTCCCAGGTAAATCTGAGAGGAAAAGCAAGGAAGCCAGAAAACAGGGGTCGGCGGGTTAACAGAGGAACTGTGTGAGGCACTCAGCTTGTACGTGCCTGAGTCTTCTCACCACAGCGGCTTTCGAAGCGGGGGGCAGTGACTCTTCTCAACTGTGTGAGCTTCACTGGTCTTTAAAAAAAATTGTTTTTACCAGAAACTGAATAAAACTCACTCAGTTTCAGAGGCGCAGAAACCACATTTCAACATTTGTACAAATACCAAAAACGTGTTGCCAAAAGGTTCCAAGTATTGGGTTGGCCAAAAAGTCCGTTTGTTTTGTTTTTGGTAAGATGGCCCTGGTAATGCTTGTCTTCAATGTCATTTGAAACAATTCTGTTAGACTGTATGGTGACAGCTGTCATGTCAGTGTGCATTAAAAAAAAACTTACCAAAGTTGGAGAATTTTGTGTAGTCATTTTAATACCAAAGGCGAAAGAAAATACACAATATTTCTGGCATATTATGTTTCACTATTTCAAGAAAGGTAAAAACGCAACTGAAATGCAAAACGACAGGTTTGTGCCGTGTGTGGAGCAGGTGCTGTGACTGACTGAAGGTTTCAGAGCGGTCGGTGAAGCTCTGCGCTGGAGGTTTCTCGCTGGACCCGCTGAAGCTGACAATGACCCAGTCAAGACACTAATCGAGAACAATCAACGTTCTAGCAGGAAGACAGCTGACATACTCGAATACCCAAATCAGTAAAGTTATTGGTAAAAATGAAAAAACGTGTCTTTCATTTTATGTTACTAAAACGGACCTTCTGGCCGACCCAGCCTCTGAGTTACCGTATTTTGCTGTGTATAATGTGCCCCTTTTTGCCCAAACCTTTGAGGGAAAAACAAGGATGCACATTATACATGGGTGGTACTAATTCCGTCTCCACATGTGTTACTAATTCTTACATTTATGCTTATGCATTAAGTGTAACTCTAGAAAGCTGTAACAATATCTTTATGCAAAATAATACCCCGGAGTATGATAATAGGTTTTGTTTCTAAATAGAAATATATAAAAAACAAAATACAAAACTAAAACAAAGTATTTTTTTTCCTAAAAGTCTGGGCCAAACACATGGATGTGCAGTATACATGGGAGCACGTTACACACAGCAAAACACAGCCTTTGCCCTCTCCTGGTTTCAATGTCCCAGGAGCAGCAAGGCCACGGCCAGCAGCATTTTTACACCACTGTGGTACTACTCCCTTCTGACCCGCATGTGTATGAGGAAGTCGTTTGGAGAAGAGTTCTTCTAGATCCTTGAGGGGCACCTTTCCCCCAGGTGCAGTGTGCCACGTTTCACCTCCTGAGGAAACTCTGAGAGTATGGAAGCAGAAGGTGAGCCATGCTGTGCGCTCATGGAAACCCCTGGTGTGAAAGGACAGCAGTGCCCTGGTAACAAGCCAAATGAGCCCCCAGGCTTGAATCCTGAGGCCTGTCCACAGGAGCTGGAGACAGAGAGTAAACATCTGGGTGACTGCTAATCCTCCGGCCCAGCAGCGTGAGTGGCAGCCCCACACCCGGAGCCAAGAGCCCATCACAAAGGAGGGACACGCTGCGCGAATGTTACGAGCATAGGAACACTGCCACCAAGATTTGGGGGGCCTATCCAGGAAGGTGGAAACAGCCCGTTCCACCAGCCAGGGGCGCCTTTGCAGGGACAATGCATCCTGCGGCAGCCCCTCACCCTGGGCGAGAAATGACGCATGGCAGGTGGTCTGGCCCGTGCCCCCAGATTGCTTCCTCTCCCTGTTCTAAAAGCCCTTTCTTATTTTTCTAAAGTTGACATCCTCAGTCGAGCCATTGTATTTCATCTTAACCTTGGGTTCTGGACAGACCCAGAGGCTTGGATTGACAGCGGCTGTGCCATTTGCTGGGAGCTATAACGCTACTTCAAAAGCTGCAGGCCGTGCCAGGATGCCACCTGACTGCCAAAGCAGGATTTACATTTTACAGGGGCCTCACATCTTAAGTAGTTGTCTGAGTTGTGTGATTACAGCTGGTCTGCAGTGTTCGCCATCAGAGACCAGATAATAAGCACAATGGTCGTTCTGAAAACAAACAAATATGGAGCCTTCACGCTTTTCCAATAAAACCCAGGACAGGATACCAGCCTAAGGCAGTTTGGAGGGAAACACTAGCCCCAAACGGCAGAGATCTGATCATTAAAGGGACAAGGAGCTTATGAAGGTGAAGCAGTAACGCCGTGGCTTTTTAGGTATTCAGGTCTAACGAGATTTCCACCGGGAGGAAAACGGATAGGAACAGGGTCTGTTCCAGGTCAGGCCATCAATTTATTGCTCAATGTTGGCTCTTCTGTTCAGTCTCCTACTAGTGCCAAAATCAAGGTTATTTAAATTAAATCCATATTCAGCATAGACAGACTTAAGCTCTTCCTTCTTACCACCAAATCATCTCTGACCACGCACATGACACACTCCAGCCCTGAAGTCACCGTGGGGTCTGAGTCACGGCTTCTCAGCTCTGAGATGGAGGCAGGGCCATTCCCTGCTCTGCATTCCCATGGGCTTCTGGGTGACCAGGGAAAGAGACAGTACCTGTCTCACCAGGCAGTGGTGAGATTTGCGGATACGGGGCCCTTGGGGGCTCCTGAGTGAGTGGGTGCTGCCAACGTCATTACTATTTGCTTACAATAGATTCAGAGGTTCTAAGAAGGAAACATGAACTGACCAGACTAAAAGCTTACCAGTTTCTGAACTTCAAATTCTGCAGCCACTTGCCAACAGCCCTCCTCATTGGGGCGCAACATGACAACGTCGAAAGCAGAGGCGGTGGCAACAGTTACGTCCTCCCGGCCGAGGGCAAGCGCCTGTATTCTCGCATCGTGCTTGAAGCGGTGAATAGGGTGCTTTCCAGTCCGCAGGCCCCAGATGTTAAGAAATCCTGTGTAGAAAGAAAAAACAAAGCAGGTAGGAAACTGTTAGAGTGATCCTAAGGCGAGGAACCAGGGAAAGGGACTGGAGGAAAAGAGAAATTTCCTGCCTCCCGTACATCCTAAAATGTTTTCCAAAAACTGTCTTTACCAAAAAGATAAATTTTAACAATGGTTTTATGAGGGAGACCTAAGAAGAACGGGAGCACATATATTAAATGCTGAGTAGTATTAACATAAGGAGGCCTTAACTCATTTTTCCATCTGGTCATTCCTTTATGCAACAAACCACCATGGAGCACCTGTCCGAGGCCAGGCCCTGTTCCAGATGTGGGCAATGCCTGGAAACTGCCACCAAAAGCATTTCACATCCTTCCTCACCACCATGACATCTAGCCCCAGCTGGCCATGGTGCCTGATCGTGCATCGTTGTAAAAACCATGAGCCTAACTTTGCCACACTTGTTGAAGACTCCCACTGCCCATCCACCCCTGTCCCTAGCACCTTGAACGCTGCCACCCCGACCCACCCACTTGCGCACACTGGCCATGCTCCACCTTTCTCAGACTGGCCATGGCACTGAACTCCAAGTGCTGCCCCAGGTCATTAGCATCCCCTGCGGGCTTGCTGGAAATGCAAGTTCTCAACTGGAGCCAAAGGTCAGGTTTGAGAGCCAGCGGTCCACAGGAACTTACACTTTTGTTCCAGGTACACACACTTTTCTGTATTTGCAGTGCCATTCATTCTTTCTTCTTCCTGATCAAATAATTTCTTTTTCTGTCATTCTTATCCACTAAACTACTTCTTTTCCCTCAAAGGTTTACCTAAGAAAATAATCACTTTCTGTACAAGCCGGATAATGTTCTGTTCCAATTCCGACTGGTTTTATTTTTTTCCAATTTGACTGAGAAATAATTCGTGGACATAACGCAGTTGGTGGTGATCTGAGTTTGAATCCAGCCGTCCCGCTGGAGAGCTGAAGGCCACGGTGTCTCCCCTCACCGGTAAAGCTGGAGACAGCAGGACCCTCCGCACAGGGCTGTCGGGCAGATTAGAAGAGAGAAACCATAGGAAGTGCTGGAGGCGGACCAATCATTCACTTTTATGTATTCCACAGTTCCTGCTGTGTTATAAAGCATATCTAACCTATTAATAAAACTAATTTCCTCTACTGCTCATCCATAAATCCAGTCTTATTACCCGTAACTTCCCATTACCTAAAACAGATAAAGCGTTTCATGTTTCTTCTCTTTGTGATCCGTTTTCCCATCTTTCTTTCTTCTTGCTTTGCACTTTGTCTCTAAATAATACACGCTGTGAACTTATGATCTTTAACTAGAGTATAAAGTATCCTGCAGCACCAAATAAACACAGTCGGGAGAAAACACGACATTCGGGCTGCTTTGCAAGACTCTCAGAACGTCAGGAGACTTAGGTCGGCGATTACAAACCAAAGCGGAGCTTTCAAGTTGCATGTTCCTTCATGCGTGAAACGGAGTACTCCGTATCTCCCCTACAAGAACTATGATAAACTTGGGGACAAGCAGATTGCAAAAGGCGCTACAACACATTTCCTGGCAAATATTTTGGCAAATTCTCTCCGTTCTGACTCCGAAGAAACAGACAAGCAGCAGAAATGCCAACGGCTCTACAGGAGCCATGCGCTGCCTCTTCCCAGTACCTCTGTGTGGCACTTGCTGGGAGACGCCACGATCCGCAGTCAAGAGAAGTGAGCTGCTGCTTGCGTCAAGCTTTCCAACGCTCAGACACTGTCATCAGTCGGCTCCAGCAATTTCCAACCACTGTTGTCATGGAGCTTTAAAACAGGCGGTATCTGACTGACCTCTGCTCCCTCAGACTGTCAAAACCATGACAACAGTCAGCACACAAGCTGTCCGGGGTGCATGCCCTGTCTTGAAACATAAACATATAGGTCATATAATAGAGCTGCATCTTATTGGTCACGTTGCATAGTAAGGTTGGGTCCAATTGGTTAATTCTTGGTACCAGAAATCCTTATATACAAGTATAGGCACCTGATTATTTTTAAAAGTCATTTTGGATCAATAAGGGTAGATAATGACTACTATTATTTTTGTTTGTAAATCAATCAAAATTATACTTATCATTTTGTCAGGTCAGCAAAAAATATGTATTTTTTGGTGTACCACAGAGTTTTGGTAATAAGTTTATGCGTGCTGTGAGATGAAAAAGGTTGAAAAATTGACTGTCTACTCTCTTATCATCGCTTTATGCAAGAGAAGAGACAGAGGCTCTGAGTGGTTAAACAACGTCCACAGCCACTCGGTACGTGACGAGCTGGGCTGGAATTTGGCGAGAGAAGCGCGGGATGAGCAGCTGCATTTACAAGTGCATCAAACAGCTAGGAGATCGATGAGTCGCTGACGTAAACCCACCCTGTGTTCTGCCAAGTGTGGAAGTTATTCAACCACAGCTCACTCTAAGCACACATGGAGTTTATCTATAAACACATTTTTCATTATTAATCAAGTATTGGTTTTGCTGGCATCATTTTTTTCCAACAGAACTGTATGCAATAAAACACCCTTCGCCACAAGGCTCAGTTTCACAGAGCTTTCCTGAGGAGGGACGTTCTGGGAAACACGTCCCGAGGCCCTATCGGGTTAACTATCTTCTGGATGCAGGCTGCGCCTTCATCTTCGGGAGCTTGTCCACCTGGCTGTTCAGTGCGCACCCTGGCCAGGCCCTGGCTTGTCGCGGTGCTGCAGCCATTGCACAGCCCCCCCGGGGTCACTTGATGCTGCATAAACATTTAGGGCTGTTGTGTCCTCTCGGTGGACTGACCCTTTGTTACACGAACGTTCCTCTTTATCCCCAGTTGCACTCTCTGCTCCGAAGTCCACCTCGCCTGGTATTGACAGGGCCGCTCCAGCGTTCCTTTGATTACTGGCAGCCCGCGGATGTCGTTCGTCCTTTCACGTTGCCGTGTATTTATATCTAAAGTGAGTTTCTTGTAGATGGCATACAGTTGGTCTTGCTTTTTACTGGGGTGTTTGAACTATTTATCTTTAATGTGATTATTGGTAAGAACTGGTTTAATCTACCATTTTTCTATTTATCCCATGTTTTCCTTTGCGCCTTTCCCCTCTCTTTTTCTGTTTTAATACTTTCGTTGGCCTATTAGTCAAACCCTCTGTTGTGTTTGTAAGTGGGTGCTGTGGGATCTCCACACACACGTGTAACTCACCCAGTCCACCTACAGGGACAGCCACGGCTGCTCCCTCCGTCTCCTCCCTCCTGGGCTCTGTGCTTCTGTCATCACACTTTGGATTTCTCCATGTTACAAACCCCACCCACATCATCACTATTTTTACGTGAGCAGGCAGTATCTTTTCAAGAAACTTAAATGGGGAAAGGCCGTTTGTTTTTACCTGCGTGATTACCACTGCTGGCGCCCCTGCAGGATCTGTTACTAAACCCACAGCTTTCGCAGGATCTGCCACCCCACTGAGCAACGGCGCTGTTGGACGTCTGACCCAAACACGCATGGACAAGGCGGGCGGAACAGACACGACGGCCAACAGGGATGGGTGTCTGAGTGGGAGCTAATGTTGTAACTATATAACCAACAGATCAGCCAACTCTATCACGGCTGCTTTCACAACCTCAAAACTGCAGCGACTTGGAATAGCACATACTCGAATTATAAGAATGTCTTATAATACTGTAGCAGATTATCATCACATTAACCAACATTTAGCTGAAAATAAATCAGCGCAACAACACATTCAACAAGTACCTATTGAGCCCCTGCTTTGGGCCAGCCACTATCCTAGGCACTGAGGAAAACCACACTGAACTAGTCAAAATAGAGCAAAATATAAAAAAAATTAAAAATCCCCAACTGCGTGAAGCTCATATTCTAGAGGCATCTACCAAGCATCTCATGTGGGGGGACATGAAAAGGAGACGATCCCTATTCTCACCAAACTCACATGGAAGAGAACCCAAACATTTTCATAACTAAACTATAATGGAGGCTTACACACAAAGTCCAGTATGATAGTACGGAAGCTTACCTTTTCACCATGTTGCCACAGAACCGTAAGACCCTGAAAAGCAGCAGCTCACTCTCCTTTCGGGTGGAACTGGGGTCACCTGCACCGTGTGACGTTAAGGGGAGAAAGCAGCCCGCTCCTGTCAGAGGCAAGAACGTGCACTTCTCAAACAGCTGGTGGTTTAACATCTGATGTGAATTCATCAGATGTAAAGGCTAAGCTGTGTATCGCACTGCGGACACAGAATAACAGAGACCTGGTGCCTGGTGCCGCGTGCGCTTTCTCTGCTGCGTTCCCTGTGGCAGTGATGTCAGAGCACTGAACGCAGCTGAACGTCCGAAGGTTTGCTGAGCGTTCACCTTAGGTTTTAGCAAGAGAGCATTTGGTTGTAGGAAACAGACACCTACTGAATGGCTTAAATGCAAAAGAAAACTGACTGCAGAGGAACGGGGCTATTTCGTGGATCCCCAGGGCAGGAAGCATCACCGGAGATCCCAGGGGATGAGAACCAGGAACGAGGAGAACACTCGGAACCAAGGCAGTTACATGTCACCACATGTCCCTGCTTCTGCTGGCAACTGTCTCCACTTTCTCTGCCTCCGCAAACCGGCTTACTTTCCCAGACCCACGAAGTCATCTGCTCCAAGCACACAACTGAGAATGGAAGTCCAAGGCCTAACCTGCTCATCCTAGTCCATGAACCACCCACCCCCAGGGCCGGGGTTCCCCATCCTAGTCCAACCAGCAGAGACCAAAAGACCAACTCAAGTCCTGTGAACGTGCCTGCCTCTAGGGGGCTGGGGAGGGACCTCAGAGCAAGGAGGCACCTGCAAAAGTATCTACTACATTTATGCTGCCTGCTAGGCCAAGGTAAAACAAAAGAAAACCTCAGCAAATGCAAAGGGAGTTTCTGTGTAGTTCCTTACTAGTGACACGAGAGGCAGGTCATTGCTACCATTCCCTACACCAGG